CTGTCTAAGCCATGAGCCACCAGTTTCTCCATTTTCCTCTCTCTGCCTTTTAAATCCAAATTCCTGAAAAAAACCCTCTCTGTTCTAATTGGCAGCTACAGACTCCCTTCTCCAGACGAGCACTCCTGAATTGTTAGAGGTAAAGCTGCCCTGTACCAGTGAGCCTCCAGATTGCCAGTACAGAAGTCAGATGACAGGCGAGTGCTGGAGTTGTGGCAACTGTGTTAAAGCACATTTTAAGAACAAGTTTGAGTGAGTGTCAGCTGCTGAAGCTGTACTTACTCTGCTCGTGAAGTTTCCTTGCACGAGACCCTCTACAAATAGCTGTGATTTGAAAGCCTTAACAAAGGATGAGAGAGACTCAATGGAAAGGCCATTCATCAGCGTCTGGTATTTATCTATCATGGACCATCTGCCGTGTTCTAAAATCAGGAGACGCACATCCCTGCAATTCAAGAAGGAAAACAAAACCACAGGCTGTCAAGAGCTGTTTAATGTAAGAGACCCCATTTCTGACTGAGGATTGTACAGGAGACAGGAAGGTGGTCCCCAGGAGCACCGAGGACCCTCAGCACCTGATGGTGGCTACAGGTCACTTCAGAACAGTGGCTACCTGGATGCCCAATCTGACCCTCATGTCTGATACGCTGGTTGCAGAGCTGCTTAAGCTCTCCAAGCCACAAGCTGACCCTGGACCAAGCCTCCATGAGCACAGAGCAGCAATTTCTGAGCTCTTCAGCTCAGCCTCCACACTTGCTGTGCAGCCACTGTTTGCCCTCCCCCAGAACTCACTTGGCCAGAGTCTCAGGTTTGATGAGGATGTTGAAGTATGTTTTCTTCAGCTGCTCTGTTATCATTTCAAAAACTGCTGGAGTAAAGCTGAAGTCAGACAAATAATCAATGATGAGCTGAAATAGAAGCTGTAAAGAAAATGGTTTTAAGATGGGGTTGGTTTGGGGGGGTTTTGTGTTTGTTTTTTTTTTTAAAAAAAGAACCACTTTAAACTTAATCCTATATAATTTAAAAATTATCATTATTTGGTCAACATGAGACACACGCAGTGGTACTAAAGCACATTCCTCAATTGTGTTAGATGTTCCTCACTAAACAATTCTATACCAAATTAGTCAGTTTCAAAAGGACAGCATTTTTCAAAAGTGAAGGAAATAAGCTCAATACCCTGAATCAACAGGAGCTTCCACATTCTACCGAAAGAAACCTAGCCTGTAACTCCAACATTTTTGTATTAGATATTCCAGTTTTTCCCTTTACAGCCGACCAGCACAATGACTTCACAACAGAACAAAAGTCATTTAAAAAAAGAATATTCAGGCTGTGCTATTTTTGTATCTCTGACTTTTTCTGTTAAATCTCACATTAATAAGTCAGTAACACAATTAACAATCTTGTTAAAGCTCCAGTCAAGTTCTTGCAATGAAAGGCACGGAAGCTTGGCCATTTCTCACCTCTTCCATCACTACATCCTCTCTGTTTGTGCTTGCCACGTCTTACAAGTCCAGTGTTTAGACAATGGGAACAGGGACCCCCCCAATCCTCATAAGGTGAGCTCTTAGCAACCCAACAAAGAAAAACTGCACCCAAAATGAGTATGTTCAGAAGCTGTATCTCTGAATTGTAAACAAAACCTATTTTAACACATACTTCTCCAGACAGCGTATAAAAAGCCTTAGCTTCTAGATGGAGAGGCTCTAACACTCTATGTGGACACAGGGGACTCTCTCTTCTCAAAGGAAAAGTTGTTAAAGTCTTAATGGAGATACAGTTATTAATTAAAGGTAGATTTCTCTTAAGTGAGCCTAAGGTCAGTAATTTGAGCTTGTGTAAGTGAATAAAACTACACCTTTATACACATAAGCCCATGAAAAAGCATTTGCTGCATTACCCTGTATCCAAACAGAGACACAAATTTTCCAATTTAAAAAACCCCATGTAAAGCCCCAGCTAGCTAGGCTCCAGCTGCTGGGTGAAAAAGGAGAAAAGCAGCATGCATAAAAGCGTTTAGAAGATCAGCAGTACTTACAGGTAGTTTATGATTGAATCCTTTCACTCGAATGACTAAGCCATGCTCTCCAGCTACGAGCTTGTATTCCAACTGAGCAACATCTGCTTCATAAGCTGGTTCACCAAGATTGTGGGTAAGGATGTTTACAAATGTATCAAATAAAACTATGCTGGATGGAGAAAAGGGCAGAGGGTTAAAAAGAATGAAAAAAAGGATGGAAGAGAAGACAGATAAAAATCAAGCCCAATGAGTTTGATGGCACACACAAGAAGTTCTCCAACAGAAATTAATATGAGATTCATAAAGTAAAGTAAAGTTTAAAGTAAATTTCTTTTACTTCATAAAGTGAGATTCAAAAAGAAATTTTCAACAAACCTGGACATACAATATGCAAGTTTCCTTTTGTCCAGAAAGCACACGACACTACTTAAAAATTATTTTGACATTCAACTATTCTTTGCAATTCATAAGATTCCAGCTTCACATGATTTAAGACTTCTTCAAGGTAGGAATGCACATGCCAAGGCTCAAAACATTGAATAATCACAGAAAATAAGATTATTACACTTTGTGTAAAGGAATGGGGGACACATGGACCCAGCTATGCTGAAGACTTGAGTAATGAAAGGATTATTTATCTATCAAGATAAAAAAATAATACGCTAGGGCAAATCACGCTATGCAACGTGGAAATTGCAGTCCGTGCTTTCAGATTCTTGTTATTGCCTGGATTCCAATTCAAAGTTCAAACGAAGAAAGCCCCAATGAAAACAGATTTATAAAAGCTTTCCCAAGACATTACTTGTGCAGGTCTCAGGAGGCTTATGGTAAAAGAACTATGAAATGTGTTATAAATGGAAATACTAGCACAAGACTAGCAGAAGCGCAGCATGTGCACAGCTATATAACCTCGAGGTCTGTGTAAAGAACAGTTGGTTTCTAAATGCTGCCAACAGCCTCTTCACCTGCTCCTATAGGCTCTTAAGTTGCTGGTTTAGGATGTGACTGTGGACTGCTCTTTTAAGGACCACCTCCTCTAAGCATTTCCTTCTGGTACCTGCACTGCTGCTGTTACATTAATTTTTCAAAACTTGCACTGGGGAATAACACACCATGAAACAACCTGCTGCAGAACCACCCTCGCTGAGCTACAGATAAAAGCATGAGGAAAGTGTCTAAGAACATGAGAAAAGGAAGCCTTATTCTATTCCAGTTTAAAATTAATCTCTCTTCATGGTTTTTCAGCTAGGCATGGTAATTTAGTTACTCTGCAAGGTAAGCATAAATAATGTAATCCTTACTTCTCTGCAGACTGCTGTATCAATGGAGAGATCAGATGGAATCGAACATAACCTAGTGGGGAAAAAGAAACTTAAATGAGCAATTGTATAAAAACTGACAGCTGTCTAAAGTCAAATATGTTTCCATTAGGTTGTTCTTTGGTCACAATTTAAGTCTAATGAAAACGGTCATTCAGCTGTAAGAATATATTTTGCTTATATTAAGTCTTCATCAAACATCATCTTTTTAATTCCAAAATCTTCCCTTAAAAATACCAAATATTAGAAAATACAAAGCTGTGCTTTGCAGAATACTAACTCACATGGTGTGACCAATAAAAACAAACCAAGAAAACTCCACGAAACATCTGTTTAACACACACTAAAAATTGTGACACTCTGCTTGAAAGCAGCAACATATTTTCCACGTTTGTCTCAGATCTGGGCTGTATTTTTCTCTTTCCGTAGAAGAGACTATAGTCTCTTCTAATTAACATGTTCCTTCGTTCTCAAGTCATTGTCTCAGTATCATGTTCTGTCTGCCCAATTCTGTCCAGAGTCAGACATTCACAAGTCAGTATATTTCAGTAATTCCACTTTTTAACCTGAAGTATCCGCAGGGTTTCTTTGTTGTAAGGTAGTTCACCTGCTTCTCTTTTATTGTAGCAAATAAACATATGAAAAAGACCACAGAAGAGCTGACAGTAAACACTGAGTTTAAATGGTGAATACTGTCATGGGTTATTTGCCTTCAAATAAATTCCAGCTGGTAAAAACAGGGACTTCCTATTCTTCAGAAAGCTCTACAGCATTTACCTTTCGGGATTTTGAATTTATCATCCTTCCTGTACCAGAGACAGCCTTGTTGTGTGCTTAGTGTTTTGACTGGATATTCTGTCTCAGGGCAGTCAGCAACTTTCAAAGCAAAGTCAGTGGCTAGCAAAAAGAAAAACCAAACCAAAACCAGAAGTTAGTGGGTTTCACAGACACAGCCAGACTACATGCATGAAAATCTTCAAAATTATCAACGAAATACATTTTTCCCACTCCCAGATTCCTAAATTATATGTGATAATGCTTTCCTGGACCCAAAGAACATTTATTTTTCAGTTCCACACCAGTGGCTCAGAAGCGGCACAGAAACAGTGATGTTGCATTCCATCCAGGATACAAGTTATGGGTCTATTTTCATTTGGTTTTGCCAACAAAGCCAGATCATATCTAGATGCTTTCAAAACCAGCAGGATTAAGCAAATAAAATTGCTCTTCTAAGGTGTCTGGAGCTCTGTTGTTAACTCTCACTGACTGCGTAAGGCCTGCTCTGTTATGGCTACACAATCTATAAGTTTACACCCTAGAAAAAACTCAGTTCTCAAGCTTATAAATAAAGAATATTAAATAAAATTCAGGTGAACAGAGGGCTCTATTTTTTAATTTGTAAAAACAGGTTGATGTTCAGATGGAAATTAAGATTGTTTCTAAACCACAGCAAATTGTCAAATAAATTACTGGGGGAAGATTTCACTCATGCTCAGATGCCTTACCTATGTATTTGTTTTCTTCTGGAAGGTGTAAATCCTGATTTAACTCAAAGTCACTGGTCCATAAATCACTCCAGTACTTGTCAATATCTATTAAAAAAAGTGAAATGCATTTAGTTCAACAGGAAGGTAATGCTGTCCTATTTCCTAGGCCAGTCATCTCATCACTTGGCTATCTCCGTGAAGATGTGCAGTACGATAGGAGTTTCTTAATGTCGTCCTATTCAACATAACTCTTTCCAAATCCCTTCCTACAAACTCCCATAGAGCAGGACTGAAGCACTCCTATTAAAAGTAAATCAACCCCGCCTACATCAGCAATCCAGTTACCAACACACCCTGTCCTTCATTGTTTGTGTTCTCCCTGTTCAGGACTTGAACGGCAGCCAAGCTGAGGGCTCCCTTGGATCCCCATCTCCTAAAACAATTGTAAACTAGGGAGTGGGAATCAACCCATACCAAACAAAGAAGAGCAATTATTGAGTAGGACAGAGTATTCAACTAATGGCGAGGTCAGTAAAGCACTGAGGATTCATTTCCCTGCTTCTGTGTGGTTGGATGTTGTGTTGTCAGCCTTTTAATCTCTCTAATGCATGAAACAGACATTCTCTAAGTTTCAGCTGCTGTTTTACCTTCCACGCTGTACTGTGTTCCAAACCACCTCTCTTTTAGATGACACTGGCCTTCATTGGCAGCAGACAGCAAAACAAGGTTGGCTCTCTGAGGACTGAGCTGGTTAAGGGCATCAGCAATGATCTACAAGTTCAAGACAGTATTTCAGTTCAAATACAACTCTGGCTCTGCCTGACCCAGAAAAGACTTCTTAGTCTGAACATATGAAGAACAAGACAATAATAAGCTTACAAAAAAGGAGATTTGCTTTCTGAGTATAGAAAGAGTGATTTAATTAATACAAAACCTGTGCCTGTATTGTGCCTAATTATATGCCTATATATGTGCCCACATTATATGGTACGCCTATAGTTCCCTTACATGAAACCATGTAATCAGGGTTCAAAGAATATTTACCTCAGGCTTGTACTCAAACAAGAGCTGGTCTCCTGTCAGAAAATCCTCCTTCTGAAACAACTGCATGTTCTCACAAAGGCTTTCCACATAGTCAACTGGATCTGTCTGTAAGCAAACAAATAAAGCTATTTTTCACATAACCAGAAAACTAAAATACCAATATCCTGTTCTGAGAAGAGCTTGACTGGTCAGGCATGTTGAGCATGAGATGCATGCTGTGCTTGTTATGGCATTTAATTTTGGTTATTAAACTAAATATATTTCATAACCATATCTAATGCTCCGGACTCCTGTGAGAATCCCAAAACACCAGACACCATCTTTATAGAGGAAACGGCCTTGAGCATGCATTCACAGTCATGAAACCTACTAGGTTAAAGACCCAACAGAATGTGCTCCTTGCCTCCAGGGAACACCAGCAGAGTCACACAATTCAAGATTTAAAGTGATCTGGAAGCTGAGGAACTGATCTGGAAGCTGAGGAACTGCTGCTGCATCAGTATCTCTAATTCTACTTCTTTCCTAAGTTCTCTGCCATGATGTGCAGTGTGAGGAGGAAGAGGTTCTCCTATTTGGACATGAAAGTATAGATTGCCTTTTAACTGGGTAAGACTGCCTAGTGGAGAGCTTCTTGCTGAGTGCTTTTGGTTTTTTGTTGAACCAGCCAGCATCACACCCTACAGACTCTGGGTCCAGATACAGAGCACAGTTTGCCTGAAAAGAGGTGAGTTTGACACATCTGGGTCTTATAAATGCAGTGGAAAACATGACCAAGAATTTCTTAAGACATTGTACATCTGAGGAAACATTAAACCTCTCTTGGGGCACAAAAGTGCTTATCCCCAAACCATGCCTCTGTGACCATTATTCTTTAGGATGGCCACATACCAGCTCTTTCCATTAACCAGAAGAGTGTCATACCATGACTGAGTCATTCATCTGTCCCTGAGAGGCACAACCCTGTTACAAATGCACATACAGGTCTCTGTTCCTTGCTTTTTGAATTAAATTCCTGAATTGTCAGTAATCTCTTAATGATCACTCAAAATCAACTGGCCAAAAAGACAGGACTCTTAACACGAGGTATTTCTCCAGTGTAAACTCGGGTGTTTTCTACCTCCACCTGGCTTGATACCGTGAAATACATAGTCTGTTAGAGCAGTTACAGTTTTGGGGAACATAAAATTCTAGCTGGGAGTACTAAAAAGAACCAAGACCACCAAGAACCTTTCAGGACTAAATAGCTTAATTTTGATGAAAAAGTCAAACTTCAAATTGGACAGCCTCTGTTGGCAACGACTAAAGACAGAATCATAAAACTGTATGTAGGGCAACAGGTATTGCTATGTCCAATATACTAAATAGCCACCCTTCATGGATTTTTAGTTCTTCTCTGCTATTCTTGGGAAAGCTTTTGTTAGGCAAAGACAATCTGTTGTAATCCTGTAGTAGTTGAACTTTGCTAACGAATTAATAAAACTTGTATTCCACTAAAAAAACACCACAAGACATTTAAAAAATGCACTTATAAATCGGTGTAAACTTGTTCCTACCAAAGAAATCCACCGCTCTGTTATCTATCACTTGGGGCTGTTGGTAGCAGTCCTTGCTGTCTGTATCACTTGCAAATACCACTGCTGTTATTCAAAGGCCACTCAAGACACTCAATATCCTCCATATGCTATTTTGAAGGCAGAGCTACAGATGCACAGATTTGCTAAAAATGACATTTCTAACATCCTGATGCTCACAGCAGGCTGGCAGGTCTTAAAGAGTGTCTGAAAATACTTGGAGCATGTGGAAAGAAAAAAACTCCACTTTCAGTATTTCCCATTTTATTTTTGTTTCCTCCTTCCTGCATCTGTGTACCTTAAGGAAACCAACAAACCTCAGTGATGCTTTCAAGCTATATATGTTGTATATAGATCTGTTTTCCCAAAATGAAATTTTAGTGCCATTCAAAAAACCTAGTTACCTAATAAGAAACAGAACACGGCTAACTGTAGTAAGAAAGAAAGTCAATGAAATGAGGCTTCTCAAATTATCTAAATTGTGTTCCCTTCTTTTTCTTTAATAAAAACAAGTAAGAGTTTTGCTAACTGCTATTTCAGTAAACCACATTTAACTGTGTAATCTTGTAACAGCAGACAAGGGGGCCATTAGCATCCTAGCCTTTGTGAGGCCAGGTCACCAGCAAGCCACACCCTTCACACAAGCTGCTTGTCTATTCCCAGAAATCAGCAGTGCCAAAGCAGCTTAAAAGTGAAATTAGGGAAAAATACTGAAAAGCCCCAAACAATTTGCCGAGCACTATTAATGGGCACAGAACTTCACACACAAGGGCCTACTGATTAAAACCGAAAAAGAGCCTACCCACCAAGTAGAGAATGAAAAAAGTAACATTTAATTCTGATAAGGAAAAAGTCACAATATTTCTCTGCCTAGAATACAAGTAATTTCAGCAAAATACAGCCTCATTAAGTGTATAATCTGTTTCTGGTTGAATAGAACTTTGAAAATGTGTTTCAAGGTTAACAAGAAATCCTTTTTATGGTTTACATATATCAACACAGAACAGTAGATGAATACCTGTTCCTGGTAGTGAAATTCGTTAGCTTCAATCTTCTGGATTTCTTCCCATATTCTGTAAAGGAGGGAGGACAGAATAAAAGTGGTTTTCCTCCATTATTCCACAACACTTATCGAGAATCTGAAAAAAAGCAATCTTCTAGGAAAGTCATCAAGGGTGAGTTCAGTGATTCATTCAGATACGAGACATAGAAGCCAGTATTCCGCACACCTCCCATCCACCCAAAAGGGCATTTCTCAACTGGCAGAAAGTTCTGTTATTTTCCAAAGAGGAAGAGACTTAACTACAGAGGTAAAATCTGATACCAAATTGTCATAAAGGCTAACACCAGACCACCACAGACCTGACTTCCATAGATTTGCCTCAACAAATTTATTTAAGTAAATGCAAAAACGCACCTTACATCTACACTAGTTCAGCTTATTAAAATTAGAAATCAGATCACAATAAATCTAACTAAAAGCACCAAGAAAGATGCATAAACATTTAGGAAATTAATTTTTAAACTTTTTTAAACTGGTATGTTTCCCACACAGACAAACGTTACTACTGACTCGCCGTTTATGCTCTAGTAACTCCACAAAAAGTGCAAACACTACAAATAAAAGGCTAATGGAGAAGGACAATCTCGCGAATATCTGCTGCAGTGGCAATCACTTGCCTTTTATCGGGCCCTCTTTTCTGCAGCATCTTCACGTACTGAAATACAACATGGGCCACCTGCAGACAGAAACAAACAGATTAATTTTTCCAAACATTAGAAAAACAGTAAGAAAATCAAGTTGCAGTAAACTATACCTCGTAGAAGTGCTTGTAACCTTCATCAGTCAAAGTCACAGAAATACTGAAGATGGAGTAAGTGGAGTTCTGTTCAAATCCTGTCTCACCATTTCCTCCATACAATGCAAGAGCCCAAAATCTATGGAAGAGTGAAAGGTACTTATTAGGTGCTCATTTCAGCTTTATTTGAGCTTAGTTACAATTAGCATTATCATAGCTTTAGTTCAATAGCTTTCAATCTGTTCACAATTTACACAAAGCTTTTCCAACATAAGAACCTCAGGATACAGAATTTAAGAAAAACAGTGAAAAAACTAAGTTACCTTTTGGAGATCTCTTAAAGAACAGTCACAGATACTATGTATCCATGGATCACAGACCAGAAACCATGGATTTCTTACTTGGGTGTATCATCAATTTAGAGAATATCACTACAAAATGATGATACAGAAAAGCAGACTTGGCCTGCTTTTATATATATAGAAAATATACACACAAAAAATAGGTTTTGTCTTTATTTTAATGACAGCAAAGCATTTAATAGCTATGCTTAAAAAGACATACTTTTTCCTAAGGAAAGAAAGAACACTGCCTTTGCCTTCATGTCCCACCAACCAGGAAATATAATGAAGAGGCTTCACCCTAAAAGAAAATTTGAAGGACATTAAATGCCAGGAGGTAATACGTTTCACAGAAAGAACTCAAATTACTAGACAAATGACTAAAATATACACTGTTTCTTCATGGCAAGTCTTACATTTTCAGGCAGCATTAGGATAATAAGCTAAAAATGTGGGAGTTCAGAACTTAATGACTGATCTGAGTCAGTGAGGAATAACATTAAACCAGCTGTGTACCAGTTCTACCCAGTTTATAAAAGGAACCGTAACTGCATCAGTTTAATTCATTTAAAAAATGTTCCCCTACAGGAACCAAAGTAATCTGTACCACAAATCAACAGGATTCTTTGGTCTGCTGTGAAAGTCAATAAAATATTCACAACATAAACATGACAGATGTAAAATGCAGCATCACTGTACCTGTAATACTGTTCTTGTGGTGGAAGTGCCCAAGTGATACTCAATGAATGAACTTTCCTGACTGGAACAACTGAATACAAATACATTTTTTGAATATAAATATACATGAATAGACATAGATAAGAAAATTTACATAATGCAGAAAGAATGGTTAAAATGTATTCAGAACCCCACAGAATTATTCTACAGAGTATCCAGATCTCTCAGAGGAAATACAAAGTTGTGTATTCAAAACATTTAAACAAATCTATTTTACTTACCTCTGTAAAGCTTGTGAAATTCTGGTGTGTCAAAAGGCTGAGTCAGATGGCCAAAGCTGGGTTTGGGTAAACCACTTAAAAGCAAAATTAAAATGTGATGTTACTGGCAAGGATTCAAGGCTACACTGAGTTAATCACAAGACGTTAGCATCCATAGCTCTGGCATGACAGAGGTGGGACACCAGGCAACCAGAAAATGGCCCTTGACAAAGGGTGCAGCCGAGGCTCCACCCAGCCCAAAGTGGAAGGCAACCTGGGATTCACTTGTACTCTGCCCACACAACAGAGTAATTACTCAAGATTTAGATACCACATCAACTCCTCCCTCTCCTTCTGTCCAAGGCGGTAACAATAAAAAGCTTGCTTTCGCAACAAGGGAAAGAAAAGCCAAGCACAGTAAGCAACCTCCTGAGTTGGTCCTGGATTCACAGAATCCTGATGGATTGTTTTGTGCGGAAGGAGGAACGGGAACAAGAGGGATGGGGGTTGGGAGAGACAAATGTGTCTCTGTATGGCATTAGACATTCACAAGCGCATTTCCATGCACCAAAGAAATAAACATCTTGCAAAAGCAGAAAAAAAGAGGGGAAATACAATGCTTTTCAAGTTAATAAGCTTTTGCAGAACCCCCTTTTTAGAGAGCACATTGGAGTGAATTATTAAAAAAAAAGACCAAGCTCTAGCCGGTTACCATCCTAAGGATGACGCTTAAATTCAAGATAGGGTCTTAATTTATTTTGCTGCTAATTACTTTTGACATAAAGCAAAGATGAGAATGTAAAACTAGAATCCAGGTTTGAATGATTTAAAATCAAGGTATCTGTGTATATTAAGCAAACACTGCTGCAAGTTAGCACCACACAGCTTGCAGGCTAAATAATTGTTAAGCATAAACAAAGTCTACCTGAAACAATTAATGCCAGTCTTTAATTTCCAGAGTTGCCCATTTTTTTCTGGATAAGGATGTTAATTAACAAATGTTGATTTCCTTAGCTTCTCCAGTAAGGGATGTTTTTTAAACATGGTTACTTTAAGAACAGATAATTTTATAATTTGTAATGCCTTTATGGATCAAAAGAATCTTACTTATTTGGGATCTCAGAGAAGATTTCCGTCACCCACTTTTCCAATGTATCCAGTGTTTCTAACAAGGAGAGAAAAAAAAGAAAGCCTGAAATTAATTTCTTGAAGATCTAAGACAAATTCTTTATCTTATCTCACCAGTTCAGTTATTTTAAAGAGGCTGCAAGTCACTATATTTTAAAATTGCAAAGTTCTAAATTATAAGCTTCAAAGCTGTTGGTTTGAGCCAATTCTTAATATTCACTGAACTGTATCTTTGGTCATAGCTCTGGTTTTGTACATACTGCTGAAATCTCAGGCTGATACAACTGGGATTTAAAGTTCAGTAGTAGCTGGTGTGACTGCGAAAAGGAATTACCAGCTTAGGGAACTACAAAATCACCAGTACTTGCTAGACTCTATGTCCAGAACATACACAGCAGATTTCACACATAAACACAGTCCTACAGCGCTAAGAATTCCTTCTCCCCATCCTCTCTCCTAAAGGAAATGTGTCAAGAATCAGGAGTTTAATTTTTTTTAAACGACCAATAGGAGATTGTTTGTTTAAGCAAGCATTCTGTATTCCAAAAATGATGCTCGACAACAACAACAACAACAAAAGGTGGTGGGGAAGCAGTGGGGAGGACACGGGACTCACAGTTTCTTTTGTTTTAACAGAGATAGAAATACAAAGTTGGCCTGGCTTGCTATCAGTCCCCATGACTTTCTTCCCAATCACCAAAAGAAACATTACAATCCATCGCTACGTAAACAATTATTCAAGAGGCATTCCATGCCCTAAGAATTTTACAGTCTAGACAGAAAAGCATAGGAGAAGAAAAGAATTACCACCTCTGTTATTACAATCTCCATTTTAGAGATGGGAACTGCAATCAGTTTTAGCATTCAACAAAACCCCAAAGCACAAACCTAACTTGAAAGCGCACAACTATTTCTTTTCAGCACAGGTGTCTACTACATGCTTAAAGAAACTTTTCTTCTCAGCAGAAACAACCCATAGGTCTGAAGTTCTTTGCTGAAATGAAACTCAATTCCATTTGCATAGAATTTTTCAGTCTACGGGGGAGAAAAAAAACTTAGAATATCTATTCTTCCTAGAGAAATGTGCTTTATTTTAAGACCTCTTTTGAAAGAGCCCCAAACAGAACAAGACAACTGGGAGACCCAGTGTCAGTCTCCCCATTATTTTCTGTGGAGATTCACTGTGGATAGCAGAGAAACCAGCAGCACTAAGTAATTTAAGTGGTCTGACTCCACATTCCTACAAGATTCTTTTTTAAATATATCTTTGAGATTTTACATTCTGTGTTAATCTAGAACCTATTCAACAGTTTCAGTTAAAAGTTTCTCAAGAAGTGGCAGGATGACAATAACACAGCACAATTGCTCAAGTTTCATTTCGAAACCAGGGTAAAATCTACATATAAATACCTCCTGCAGGACTGGACAACCCACTAAAATGGCCTGGGCTAAGGCTGAACTGGTGCCAAAAGCACTATACCAACACCAGCAATGAGCCTGTTTTTAAGGAACAACTGAAGTTACCTTTAGATTGGACAACTAAAGTCATGTAGTGAGCAGAGTAATGGCGCTGCCAGAAGTCTCTCAGTCTGGTGTAGGTATCAATATTATTCATTTTAGGCTCATGTTTGAGTGTATCTGCATTACCTGCAAACATCAAAAGGTGGTTAGTTATCTAGACACCGGTTACATCAAGACCAGCTATACTGAGAATTTCTTTTCCTCCCCTAGCACTGAGTCTAGTCATAGTAAGGACATTAAAAATAACGAATAGAAATTCAGAGTTAAAGGAATGTTAAGTGAAATTTAGTATCTTCCAATTTTTAGTTCCTATTATAAGGACAGTTGACATTTCTATGACAAGGGAGGACAGAATCCTTTTGCATTATGAGATCACCCATACTATGTATCACACAGCTCACTCTGTGTTGCCAGTCTCACCAGCACAACTTGCAGAATAGGGGAGGGGAAAAGAGAGGAAAATATGATGTTCAGTACATGTCACTACAGAATTTTATAAAAATTATCTACATTTCAAAGCTGACTATCTCTATTACCCATCACACTGCAATTCACATGCTCACCAGCATCACAAGGGTGAGGGAGCTAGGACTTTGTAACATCCAGGAGGGGAAGGACAAATTTCCATTCTGCGCCACTCACATGGCTATGAAGGTCTATTTCTGCAAGTTCAACAGTGAATTCTTTACTTTGAAAAGCCTCCTTAGACACAAATCCAGAAATACTTTACTTTCCAGGGAATTTTAATAGCAAAAAACAAGCTTAAGCAAGCAGAGAGCACCACCTTTACCCTAACAGAAAGTTACATGATAATACACCTAGGGCTTTAACATCAGCAAAAAGCAGTACCAGAATGAAAAGTATCTCAAGAAGCAGACAGCTGCTTTTATTCCCAAACGTTTTAGTGTAAAATGAAGAACTGCTCTAACACTTTTGAGCAAGACTAGTGTTTGCTGTAATAAGATAGCTCATGTTAGTCCATCTTTTAAGTGGTTAAAAGTTTTAAGTATTATCACCACTTTAGAACATAACTTCAGAACTTACCCCAAAAAAATTTCTTCATAGGATGTCCAGGCCTGGCAAGACTCCCAAATAGCATCTCCTTTCTGTTTGCATCAGAGGGCCTTGCTAGCTGATACTCTGTTGATTTTAAGAATTTGCAGTGGCATGTATCAAAATTTGAGGTCATGTTCCCACAAAACAAAACAAAGCAAAAAGCCCAACCAAACTGAAAAGGAGACATACCACACAGATGTAGACCGAAATAGTTTTGTTTTAATGTATGATGAAGTAGTGAAATAGGATAAGAAACAGGACTTGCTAGCAGTAATAAACGTAAGTCAGGAGAAGAGGAAAACCATAGCTCATTGCTGAGAAGTACAGAAAGGGAGGGGAAGTGTGTAAGGCCCCAACCTGTCCCATCTCAATGCTCTCAGTCCAGTAAGTTTAATGGGAACACAAGGCCACCAATATTCTACAGAGTCAGGCCCTGCAAAAAGGGCCAGAGAGCAGTTACAAACCTGCTTCTCCCATATATTACACAGAACAACTTCTAGCCTAGTAACAAAATAAGAAATTGAAAGCTGAGCAAGACAGTTTCCAGAAATGCAGTTTTACAATCAGTTTACTCTAATCTAAATATGGGATTCTGCCAAAATCAAGAATTCACTCTCTTGAACTGCATTTTCCTGTTCCTGTTTTTGCTGGTAATAAGAAACATGCACAGGAAAGCTGTAAAATAATTATTTTGGCTGGGTTAGTCTGCAGCCACTTCATCAAGCTGACGCAGTTTACTGGGCAGCTCATTACTACAGTGTCAGTACAAGGGAAGGAGTGGACCTGCATGATGAAGGCAGTGCAGGTGAAGGCATAAGTTGGCTTAAGCTGTTGAAGAAACCACACCTTAACTCAAAGACAGGTCCTTGCTTATATTGACACTTATTTAAATTCAAAGATGAAATTGCTCAGTTTTCCTTGTCAGAAGACAGATGAAGAAGACATGGAATACATATTTGAAACAGTTAGTATATCTGCCAATATATATTTTTTTTCCAAAACAGTGAAGTTTTATAGGCAGCCTGGAAATATTTATAACATACTAGAAAATCAAGTAAACACTCACTTCTATGCCACGCTCAATTTTCTTCTATGAAGCAAATTTGTAGTTATTAAGGTGTTAGAAGTTAGAAAACGAAGACAAGCACAATGACCTCGACTTATTGTATTTACTCCACAGAGGACTGGAGAGAGCACTGGGGCTATGCTGGAGCTATAAGCATGTTGTTCACTATTTATTTAAGAAGATGGGGTAAACGCACAGTGAAAGATACTCTTACCACTGTCTACAGCCTCGACTTCTCGGTCTATCGCATCCCTGATCATCAGCGGGTGAATGAAGAATTGTGCCCACCTACGAAACAGAAAAATTATTATGCTTTTCTTCAGTGTCTATTAAGCTAGGGCAAAAAACCGCAACGATTAAAACCAAATTCCACTATTTTTAGTTTATAACGTTGCTTGTCTTACTACAAATTATGTCATCTTGACTGTACTGTCTTAAGGAAAGATAAAAGCCAGTTTTGCAATAGCTTCAAAAACGAAAGGGCAGGGCTCCCATGCTCAATAGAGTAAGAGCAAATTGGTTGGATACAGTAGGGTAGGACACTAATGGATGCAGGAGTATCTGCCTTTACATCCTAAGAATGATCATACCAGATCAGACAAGTGATCCATCTAGTCTGGCTCTAACACGGACCAGTATCAGATGCCTCAGAGGAAATCCTTGGTTGTTCATTAGGAACAACATGACCATAGGGAAAGTTTCTTCCTAACTCCACGCAACAAACCGTTGATTTATGTCCTGAAACATAAGTTTTTATATCCATTACAATTTTATTATCTACTATAAAAGTCAGTGCTGTCAGCCAGATACACATCTCCTGTACCCATAGAGAACTAAGCAATGGAAAGGGACAAATCTTCAATGAATGAAGACTCTGCAGCAGGCTGCCAGAAAATCTAATATTTCTATTTTATCTGTTCAGTTTTTTTAGTGATGCATTGAACTTCTTGAAGCAAAAGGTTAACAGTAATACATTGTTGACAGAGTTCAGAAATCGTCAGCAGCATCTGTTTGTCTTCTTTGTATAAGACGCTGTTCTACAGAATTCATTATTTCTGTGTTTCCCCTCCACTAAGTGAGCTGTTGTGACAGACTGCAATTGTATTTTTTGATTCTTTGCACTTCTAAACATCTAAAAACTGGACTAATTTGCAAATGAAAGCTGAATTTAGCCCAGTAAAGTAAAATTTAGGCAATACCTGGTAAAATGTGCAAACACTTGGCATCATCACAGGAATGTACTTTGATCAAAGTAAGTTCACAGCGGAGTCTACTCTCCTCCTGAGATATTTTACAGCATCGAGAATACTCAGCTGACATGCCCCTACAAACAAGTAATTTCCTCTCATTGAAGGAGAGGCTCACCATGCCAAGAGGTGGAGCTCTGTTGTACTAACATATCCCACACGACAAAAGAGCAAGTTAAATATTTTCTGGCAAAAGATACATATTTGACTGAATAACCTGGACTGGGTTAAATGTATCCTTCTGATGCACACATTGTACCATAACTTTCAAGGCTGCCCTTCCACCCACTTTGATGAATCACACTTGGAACCAAAAAAAAAAAAAAACATTTAAAAAACCCACTAACTCTCCCAGGACTGGTATTTCAAAGGATGAATCAGTGGGATTCTGGGAGTACTTCCCCTCTGAACAGTTGTCACACTGCATAAAATTTCTCCTGTCATCAATGCTACTAGTTTAAGGGTGGTAAAACAATCAAAAAGCTACGTGCATTAAGACTTACACGTGGATCCTAAGTAACCCCACAGCAGCTACACAGGCACTATCTTGAAAACCAGTAAGATATCCAAAGGGAAATCATACTTCCTTATATTTAAAATCCTCTGCAGTAGTAGGAATACCTATGGAAGTTCAGCAAGAGCCTTAATCACCCCAAAATTAAGAACTGAATAGCTACACCCAACCGAGGCACATACAGACATTTGTTAACACTTAATCATCATTTATATGAAGTTACCTATCGAGCGCTTCTTTGAAGTACTTCCTCTGCACATCAAACTGGAAGACTGTCCGCTCACAGTCAGTAGAAGCATTGTCGCTGCCCCCATGTTTCTTCAGAAACGCATCAAACCCATTCTCATCTGGGTACTTCAAACTGCCCATAAAAACCACTGGAACAAAAATCAGCAAAATTACCAAGAGGACATTTGTTATTCCTAAGTGCAGCTATGGTAACTCCTCTCCAGCACAGTGCTACCTACAACTGACCCACAGTTCCCATGTAGAGGCCCAAATAGTCTGGAAATAACAGGGCCTTTCTGGGCATGATTGGCATCAATCAGTCTGGAGTGGCATTTTAAGATACATCTGGTCAGAAACGTCATGTGCTTTCTGTGCTTGTATTACTAATTCATCATCCTTTACTAGAGAGATAAAGGTCTGCAGCTCCAGCCTAGTTTATAAAGCCATAGGTAACATGCTTCCTCCTATATTTAATGGATAACGAAGAATGTTAATATACATTAGTTCATAGCCCGCCAAAGGGTATACGAGACACCTCCCATATTAAGAGTTCCTTGCTGAGTCAGTATTTTTATAAAATCACAAATTTATTTAACTAATGAAAATAAATTCTGGGATAGCTGAAATAGGAAATGACACTAAAATACTACAAAAATTCAGAGCTAGATAGCACTCATTTTGCACTGAAGCTGGAGAACATGAAATAGGAGCAAATACGTACTATGTTCCAGGAAGTGTGCTAATCCAGGCAGATCTTCGGGATCAGAGAAGCTGCCAACAGCAACGCAGAGGGCTGCTGCAGACTGGAGAAAATACAATGCTCTCAGTAAAAGCTGCTTCAAGAAATACTTCAGCAAAGTGACATAAGTACAAGATAAATCAATCAGGGCAGGCACAATAAAAAAAAGGTCTAGTCTGAATGCCTAATCGTAAGGTTTCAGAGCACAAAAAAGCTCTCTGTATTTTTTCACCCTACAGCTTTAAGTACATACCTGCTTTTCTGTACAGCCTCTCTTCCTTGTCTCTTCCTTTTCAGCTAGCTCTTCTAATTCACTGTCATCAGGATCATTGAAATCCTCATTATCTCCATCATCGTCCTCATCCTCATCCCCCTCATCACAGTCCTCCTCATCAAAACCTTCTCTACCATCTTCGATCTCAGCTCCAGAGTCATCATCTTCATCACTTTCCCCTTCAGATTCATCATCATCATTGTCTTCCTCCTCCTCCTCCTCCTCTGAAGATAAAGCAGCTGGGGCACCATCCAAGTAATTCAAATCCGATATCAAAAGTGCACATAAGCCATTCTGCAGCTTGATATACCTGAAAGAATAATTATTTACAATGAAAACCCTCATTTCCCAAATCTGAATTTTCAGAATTGCAAAAATTTCTGTATTTCCTACAATAATTCTGTGCTCTTCAACTGATGAAAATCTAATGGTAGCTAAGAAGGTGAGCAGTTTTATAGTGGGAAAGTAAAAACACTCTTCCACTATTCAACAGCTGTAAGAATAAGAAAGAAGCAATTAAAGGTAGTAGCAGAAGCCCTTTTCCCCATAAGGTCAGGGACACTGATTTAAACTTTTATTTCTCTCTCTGTGAAATATTTAAGCTACTAGCACCCGCTCAGAGAAAACTCCATGTACTTAGAATAGGCAAACCCAAACTTCAATAGCTTGTTGTTTTTCAGGCTCTTGGAAACATATATTATGTGGCAAAATTAAGAACTTAGTCTTTGCCTCTAAATAGGCCCCAGAGACCTAATTTTATTTTATTCTACCAATGCTTTCTGTTAAATAGGGTCCACAGATGTAGCAGGCATATGTTAGAAAGGACAGAGCTATTCTGCAGGCTTAATAAGTCACAGTGGGTTCATTGGGTTCCTATTAAGAACCAATATACAGAGAGATCTGTGTATACATACAGAGAAATTTTTTTTATATGTGTGTGCGCACGTGTGTGTATGTGTATATATATATATATAAAAAAATCCACAAGCCCTCTGTTCAGCACCATTCTACAACTTCTCCGAGTGGGACTGCAAGCACCAATCCTCTGCACCACAAGATCTCTCAGCAGTACTCATTTCCCATCAGATCCAGAATAGCCAGTCAAATTAGCCCCAGCACCCTCCATGGGAGGTTGCGCTGGCTAGTACGCCAGCTGCAGAAAGGAAGGAATGCTGGATCCAGAAAATACTTGGCCCAACCTAAGAACTACTGTGGCATAGACAGGTGGTATCGGATCCAGCAAAAAAAAATGCTAGTAACAAACTCATGGTCACATCCCACACTTCCAGAAAAATCTGAGTTACAGAACGTAGAATCATAGAATAGTTTGGGTTGGAAGAGACCTTTAAAGGTCATTAGTCCAACCCCCAAGTTTATATCAGATCAGAACTTTGCAATGTGGCCACTAATGTAATTAAGTAGCAGAATTTCAAAGCAGATTTCCAGCTTAAGCTACATGGTAAGTACGCAAAGTAAAAACGAAAGGCATGTTGTGTGTTTTCCAATGCCATGGTTCCCAAAGTTGTTCACAAGAGATTTCTCATGGTTATCATTACACAATTTCAATGTTTCCCAGAAATAAAAGCATGTGTAATTATCAATATTCCATTTCAAAATATGAAGACTGTGTAAGTTTTGCTTTTTACTAGAGCTGCGGGCCACCAGCTCTGGCTCTGCAAACCACAGACCAGCTTGTTAACAAATTACTCCGAGTACTTCTCTCCTAACTGAATTTCATGGGTTCGTCGTTGGAAGAAAGGGGTAAAGGGGGTATTGTGACAAGAATTAATCAGTTCTGGGACAAAGAAAAAAAACACACTTCTTGGACTATCAAGTCTATGAAAAAAGTTAAAGAACAAATGTTTAATAGTCATGTTAAGCTTATGAATTATGACCACTCATCCAACAGGAATTGAGAGCACTTACTCTGGGCCAGGGTTGCATGATCTAACACACCCGTTTTGCTTGCTGTAGGACCGCTGAGCAGTACAAATTTGTTCCCATCAAAAGCACAAGTGCATTTTTGCTCATTCAAAGGACAGCACATGGTCCATAACTTGCAGAGGTGCTATGACTAACTGCAGGAGGTACAGATAGTACTAGATCCACGCTTATGTCTGGGTACGAAGTTAATCATCCGTACATTCTGAAAGCCTGTTTGCTAACTGTTTGCATCATATACATGTGTTGCATTACACAGCTGCAGCCCTTCTGGACGCACAACAGGGGTCCTAAAAACAGATACACTGTACACTCCGGCACCTCAGCCCCTGGAGAGCTCAGAGCAAGAACGCCAGGTAGCTACAATTCAACTTTGCTACAGCATGTCTTCCAAAACAACCACCATCTTCACCTCTGCATACAACCATCTTCTTCAGGTTTTCACGGCCCATTCCCCGTGATCAACAGATAGTCATGGAAAGCAGAGAACAGAATACCGCTATTCTTCCAGAAGAATGATTTGCCATAAAAGCTGTTTAGCCAGGTGTATCCAGTAGCTCTTGTTGATCCTTTCCACATACCTCTGTTAAACTAATGGAGCAGATGATACTAATTTTACATTACTTGTCTTCAAGCTTGTGGGTGTTACATGGTAGGACAGAAAGCACCTAGTAGCAAGGCAACAATTGAACCAAGCCACTCTTGCAGGCTATCAGATTTCACTTCAGGAAAATCTAGAACAGTATAGGTTAAACTGAGCAGGGGCACCAACTGACATAGGTGTTCTTTACTTCTTCCATGCTTCAGTCCAATGGAAAAGGACAAATGTAATCCATACGTGAGTATCCATTAATATGCAAAATACAATACAAAAAATGCAATCACTTAATGTAGCAACAGAAGCAAGCACAGCCCAATTGCTTTTTTGAAGGACTGTACAGGCATTGATACAAATATGGCTTAAAATAAAATTAAAATTCTTAAAGATACTGTTTAAACATCTTGACACGTTTAAACAGGACTGTTCTCATACAAAGTTTTGTCTTCTATCAATGATAATTGTTTAGTAAAGTAAATACTGAAATACATATCAATGCATGGTAAACACTTAAGAGAAATGTTTTAATTTCCCAAGTTACCCAAAACAAACAATGCAAGCCCATGAAATTCCATATATGGATGAATTTAAATAAAACACACATTTTGGTAAAGATAACTACCCACTCATAGCTCTAATGAACAAAACCAACTTTGATTATGACGATAATTTTTGTCCCAACAAACTCACTTTTGAAAATACATTCTGCAATCTCTGGCAAAACTCTTTTGTTTTTATGATCACTGTATTTGAGAAGATAAAATGTAACATTTTCCACTAAGTTAAGACTGATGTCAACAGACGGTCACATTAAGCCCACTGTGACTGGTCTGCAGTATACATCATCACTGATGCATGAACAGAGGAGAAAGTGTATATGCATCATCAAATCAGCTGCCATTACATTTCCTTAGGAGGTTTGGTATATAGTTAGCAGACATAGTTAGGCTTTATGTTCAGCCACACTGAAGTTCTCCTTCCTGAGGGCAATGTTTGTGTCTTTCTGCGCAAGCCTCACTTCCCACAAATGGAAATCAGTCTGAAAAGATGTGAGACTCTGCTTCCAACTGAAAAAAAATAAATCTGTTGAGCACAGAGAGTAGGATTTCTGGAAGGCATCAGTATTAGTTTATTTTATGCTATAAACAAACACACTTGCCAATTCTCTACGTGCAGAGGAAGGTTCCTGAGCCTTTAAATAGATAGCCAAGGACAGTTTTCAATGCACTTCCCAAGCTTCATCACTGCGCTGCTTCAAGTAGTACAGGCACAAGTTTCCTAAGCTGACAGTCTCTGTAACTGTGAACTCTGCAGGAAGACAAGGCTCCTGCAAAGTAGCATGAGTAAGAATGCCAGCAGGAGAGGCAGGCAGAGAGCCAGAGGAAGCAGCAAAGAATTAGGGCAAGAAGGGAGGGAGCAAGTTTCTCCCTAAGCCAATGGGCAGAGTCCTTTTCATGCAGCCAGCAGAGAATTTCCCCGTCAACCAATGTCACTGCAAATCCAAAACTCGGTCCCAGTCTTAGGCAGATTCTCCACTGGCTGCACAGATTAGACATCATGAAGAGCAACAATAAAAAAAATAATCATCTCTAACAGGGGTCTAACAGAAAGAAGTTATAACAGTGTCCCTTCAAGAATGACTGCCTTACAGCATCCAAAGTGCTCAACCTCTGCTGGCCGTTCTCACCGGAGTCTCTCACTGCGAGAAGGCCACAGGCGCTGCGGGCTGTGCTCAAGGGAAGGTGATCTCTTTTAGCACTTTCAGGGGTATTACTCAGAAACATACAAACACACAAACAAAATGGCAGCACAGAAGTAATTTTTGTCTCAACTCACAGACATTTTTGCATTAAAACCTGGAAGAGTAACAGACTTTTTTAAAGTTAGTATCTGCTTTGTAATATTTCAACCGCATTTCACGCTTCAGCTTAGCACTTTTGGAACGGGGCTGCCTGGACGAGGGCTGCAAAGTAACAATTCAGTATCGCTGTGCCTCGAAAACATAGCGCCACAGCAGAGTCTTTGAAGAGGTACTGATTTTGGCTTTCCATGCAAGCCCCAAGCCTAATCCCGTAGACAAACCTGACAGCCCATCTTGAGCAGAAATACACCCACGAGGCCCCAGTCCCCACTTTCACAGCGAGGCCCCAACTCCCCCGGTCACCATGACGAGCCCGACTTCAAGCGCCTGCGGTTACAGCCGAGGCGGAGCGCCCGGCGTGCCCGGGACACGGGGCAGGCTGGCACCCCCCTCCTCCCGCCGGCCGCGGCTGGTTTTCCGTAGGCAAGCGAGGAGGAGAGGCCCCAGCCTACTCGTGAGACC